CCTATGATTTTTATTGAGATTTTGGAATTTTGAGGCATTTTCTTAATTTTAGTTAATCAGTGGTATAATATTAAGACATAAAGATTATATGAATCTGATCATGTAATTAAAAACTAGGGTATCACCTAAAAGCAAAGTTTATTGTTGGCCATTAGTCTAGGATTTCTCAAAGTCTTTTTTTCCCCTTTTTTGGAGTACAAATAGGAGTATTTGTATATGGGTAGTGCTGAGTGGTTGGAATTATTGTATAAATGAAATACAGCTCTAAATTATTTGTCCTTGTGAAATTAATAAGCATTGTATTTTTAATACAATAGTTCTTTATTAGGAAGTCTTATGCAGAAATTAAAGAGAAATTTTGGGAAAATTTTTTCTAATTTTATTTACAAAAATCACCATACATTTAGAATTGTTTAAAATTTTATTTTAGGTATTACTTGAAATTTTATATCTTAGAGATTAGAATGTTTGGGATGAAATAATGTGTCTGAAATTTCACTTATGTATGTGAAATGGAGATGCCATCTGTTCATTTTGAGGCAGATAATGGTGGGGAAAATGGGAGATAAAAGCATTTAAATATGTTAAGGCTCCCTATTTAAGCTACTAAAAGATCTCTCCTTTGCCAACTTATATAATGTATTTATTTCAGTGTTTAAATACACAAGGAATGAATTATTCCCATGTTGAAAGATAAGGTAAAAGGCACTCGTATCTTGCTAATTTTTATTCCTGATCAGTAGCATTAGTGCTATACCATTTAATTGTATTGTTTCTTTTTTTTGAAAATTTAATTTGTATGGTGACACAAATGCAGAATAGATGAGAAAATCTGGCATGTCTGTGAATGTTCTGTTGTGTAATATGTGCTTTTCTTAATTGTTTTTAACATGTAGTTAGGATAATTTGTTATAAATATGTTTATGGCTCACCACAGTGTATTAGGTAAAATTAACTCACAGCATTTTATCATGGTTAGTATTATGCATTTCCCTACCATTTGGCTTGTTTAATTTGTATATCTGATAAAATACAGCCTAAGGACTGTTGAGTTTTGCTGCTTCCTGGGGTATAAGGATATCAAATATAAAAGCAATTCATCTTAAATTTCATGGTATCCAGTGACCTTGTATCCCTCCCATCCCTTTGGTGATGCTGGGGTTTAAATTCAGGGACACAAGCATGCTGGGCAGGTGCTGTACCACTGAGCTGTCCCCTAGAACCCTTGCCCACACCCTTACAAAAGGGTTCCCTGGGAATTAATGAGCTACACTGGCATTCAAAATGTACTCAATAGGGGCTGGGGATTTAGCTCAGCGGCATAAGCGCCTGCCTTGCAAGCGCGTGGTCATGAGTTCAATCCCTGGTACCGGTAAAAAAAAAAAAAAAATGTGCTCAGTAAATACTAAGTATTTATTGCATGATAGGCATGGTACTAGGTACTAAAAATACAAAAGTACTAATGTTTGTGAACTCAATCTGCTGTTGTGTCAGAGGCTAGATAACACTTATTGGCTAAGGAATAAGCCTTAGGGAATAGGGAATTCAGACATTAGACAATCCTAAGGGAGATTTCCTTAGGATCCTTGGTTTGTAATTCTATTAGTGGATTGGTGGGAGAACAGGAAATAGCAATTAAGAGGGATGAATGTTTAAAAATATGATAGTAGTTATGTAAGATGGTGTTTGAAGTTAGAGACATAGAAAGAGGTTTGAATTGTGAAGAAAAATACAACTCAAACTAGAGTTTTCAACTTAACGATTAAAATTTTTCAGACTTCAAATCATAATCTTTGACTGAAAAACCTTAGAATTTGCTTGCTGTTCTGAAGATTCAATATTCCAGTAGCATAGTAGGAAAAACTTGTAAATGCATAGAATAGTTTTAATAAACTTAATAGACAGTGAGTACATCTAGAATTGTTCTGAATTTAAGACTGGTTTATGGAGGAGTCTTGTTTTCCAAATGAATTTAGCAGGTGAATTCTAGAAAACACATTCTTGTTTAATTAAAAATGACCTTACATTTCATTTGGTTTATTAGATTGTCTTATTCATGCATATTGACACCTCTTTTATCATACAGGCTTGGAATTTAAAATATTTTGTTTAGTAAGCTACCATTTTGTAAGCACTATGGTTTTCAATAAATATTTTTAATGAATTCTAAATATTTAAAAAAATTTTGAGTCTAAGTGGTGTGCATAACATACTTTAACTATGTTGACTAATGACTTCTTCAGTACCAGTTACTACATACATTATATTCTTGGGTAGGGAGTGTAGGCCTTTAAGATAATTAAATTGTTTGCCCTGGCCTATGTCTAAGCTCTCAAATTGTCTTCCTTTTTGATGAAGTTTTTATATTCTTTTTTTTTCTTTACAGTGTCTATCGTCAGAGAACATTTATCATTTAGTATTTGTTGCTAGAGGTCAGTTCCTTTACTCATTTACGGCTAGAACTAAGTTGTAGGCTGAGACACTATGTAAAAAGTGTTTGATTTATTTTATAAATAGTTGAATTTGCCCAGTTTCTGAACATTGTATCCGAATTGCAATGCATATCTGAACATACATATACATATATATATATATACATTTTTTTTTTTGGTACCAAGAATTGAACTCAGGACCCTGTGTTTGCCAGGCAGCCACTTATGCTGTTGAGCTATATCCCTGGCCCATTTTTAAAATATTTGATCAGGAATGTGAGTTTAAAAAACAAAACAAACCTCTAAGCCAGGCATGGCAGCGCACCCTCTGATTAGCACCCTGGAGGCTGTGGTAGGAGGCTTGCTTGGAGTTCAAGGCCAGCCTAGATTTGTAGTACTATGCCCTGTTTCAAAAACAAAACAAACAACCCCCCCAAAACAACAACAAAAAACGCCAAAAAAGTAAAAACAAAAACAAAAGCCCCTCTACTCATATATAGTGAATGGGCCTTCACTGAACTCTAGTACCTCTAAAATCCTTTTCAAATACTCTCCCATGTAATTTTGTTATTAGTCTTTCAGAGTTCTTGCCTAGTAATTCTTTATAGAAATGTACATATCATATCAATACAAGTTAAGCCTACTTTTGATTTTGACTTTTGTCGTCTCCTGATTGATCAAACTGTGTGATGTGTGTTGCAAAGCTGCTTTCTTTTGTTTTCAGCCTGTTTTGTTGGTTTCTTCTCCCATGTTGGTCCTCTTGTTAATGGGATGTCTCTGATCACATCGTGGCCATTTGTGCTTTCATCGGAACTGTTTAACGTTCTTTCCTTTCCTTTTTCCTTTCTTGTCTCTAGAACCCAGACAGCTGGCAAACAGCACTCCTGTTCTGAGTGTTTGGCGACTATCACCTCTAGGTTTTTCTTTTGAGGTGCTGGGAATTGAGCTCAGAGCCTCACTCTTGCTTGGCAAGTACTCTACCACTGAACTAGACGCTTAATTCCTGGTTATTTATAGCTTAATGAAGTTGTCATTTCCCACACATCTTGCCTAGTTGCAAATGGGATTGGAGCTTCTTGGGAATAGTAGAGCCTCTTGAGAGGAAGCGTTTCAAAACCTACTGAGCTGTCCATTTGGCGTTAGCCTAGTGCCTTCTCTTACTTACTGGAGGGCATTTGTCAGTTAACTTGTTATCTTTGTTCTTCACCATAACTGTGCCATCTTTCAGTTTCTCCTTTGTTCTTCTGCTAGTAAGTCTTGCCCTTTTAAATTTATTCTTTCCCCAAAAGAGCAAGGTCATTATTATTATTATTTATTATTATTATGTTTGTTTGGACTTTTTGAGACAAGGTCACAGTTTAGACTGGCCTTGAGATCACTTTGTAGCGCAGGCTGGTCTCAACTTTGCAACAATCCTCCTGCCTCAGACTCCTAAGTGCTGGGATTATAGGCATGAGCCACCATGCCCAGTGGTCATTATCATAATGTAAAAAATGAGAAAGGAGAAAAAGAGGGCAGAACAGACTAGAAAGCAAACCAAAATAAAGAAAAAGTTGGTAACTTTACTCACTTTTAATTTCTGAATATCATTTTTTTACAAATCTGTAAATGGAGGTAATTGTTAACCTCAGTGGAGAGGTATTTGTTTTTTTTTATTATTATTATTTAAAGAGAAAAAAAAGAAAGGAAATAAAATTAAAAAAAACCAAAGCAGTAAAAGGGTACAAATAATACAGAATTTCAAGGAAAAAAATACAGTAAGATATCACTGAGAGGTATTTGTTGAATGAAACAGGATATATGAAATTTCTAGTAGGCACATGCTCACTAAGTTGCCAGCTTTTGTTTACTGGTATAGCTCCTCCTTTAGCACTAAAAGAATCCCAGCTATACAAAACTTCACATTTATGAGGAAATAAATTGTTTACTGATACTGTTAACAAACAGTAGTTTTGGGTTTAGCTTCCTAGAGTACTTAGTACTGTAGAATTTTTGTTTTGTACTGGAAATTGAACTTACGATCTTTTGCATGCTAGGCAGTCACTTAGGCCTGCTGAGCTATATCCCCTGTCCTGCTCTATAATATTATGTAGTTAATATTTACTGCTAAGTGTAGGATATAGTCTAGTTCGTCATAAGAGGAAAAATAAGACTCAGAGGTTCCCAGTGTTGTACCTTTACAGAATACAATTCTTTAAGTGTGAAACTTGATGAGGTAATTTCTGGTAATCATGATAACATACATACTGAAACTTCCTGTGATGGGATAGTTCATGTAGCAGTCCTTTGAGTTTCAAGTGACATCACATGGTACTTGAAGAAAAAACTGCCTTACTTGGAAGATGGCTCTTAAAAATGTAACTGTTCTTTACCTGGTGGTCCTATTCAGCCCTAATAAAATTAACCTTTTGGGCTGAGGGTATAGCTCAGTGGTAGAGCATTTACCTGATGTTGGTGTGGTCCTGGGTTTGATCTCTAACACTGCCAAAACAAAGCAAATCCCCAACCAAATAAACAAAATCTGTCCATTTTTTGCTTGATAAACTTATCTTCCATGTTCTTCTATAGACTGATCCACCGTCAGGACTGGAATTGCAGTCATGGTACCCTGTTATAAAGCAGGAAGGTGAACATGTTGCTCAAACACATTCGTTTTTACACCCCAGGTAAGCATTATTTATTCATTCATTCACTCATTCATTTACTAGCTGTCTGCTAAATACTACTTTTGGTACTGGGAATTTATTGTTTAGTTTTATGCCATCTTGTTAATAGATTACCTTTAAAAAATGTAAACTTTTAACACAGTAACTTCAGGATTTAGTAGCTTTTGCTTGTATTTGTCATTATGGGGAGATTGTTGGAGAATCATATGTTGCTTAATTAACTAGAAAAAAATGGGAAGAATCTAAAATGAAGTATAAATTGTATTCAATATTTGATAAAATCTTTAGTTGGTATTTCTGTGGTTTTTCTGGAAGTAAATAATTTCCTTTGTTACCCAGAAGTAACAAGTGAAAGTTTTCCTTTTATTTCCTTACTTCTGTTCAAGAGGTAAATCAGTTCTTCAAGAGTTTGGTGTGGAAAAAAAAAAAAGTTTGGTGTGTAACTTTGATAGTTAAAAAATTCTTTGAGTTTTATAATAACTACACTTTTCAAAAGCAAGTTTTCATATTTTCAATAAAAGAATATTATCGATTATAACTTTGTATTTAGATTTTTATTTGGTGCTATAAATCTAATCTCCCTCAAGCATGATGAACAATCAGTATTTACAGCTTTACAAAAATCACTGTCATACATATTAAATTGGAAATGTCTTTTGGGCATTATTAAACCTGTCAAGTTTTTTTTTAAGCTGAGTACTGAGTTTTCAGATCCAGAATTTATGAAATTGATAAAGAGGAGCAACATAGATGTCCTATACAAAGAAAAGAAGATAGGAGATCAATTATCTGATGTTAGGGGATGAAGTGTATCTTTTCACTAATGGTTACTTAGATTATAGTTAAAATGTTACTTGACTGTCTAGTTCACATTTTTTCTGTGAGCCTTGCTGATAATTTGTTGAATAATCTTTTCTCTTTTTTTTGCTACTGGGGGTCATGATCCCGTGCTTGCAAGGCAGGCGCTTATGCTACTGAGCTAAATCCTCGGTCCTGTTGAATAATCTTATGTGTGTTTTAAGCAAAGTTGGTAGTTATCCTTTCAATTTTAATTTTGCATAATTTTCTGTTGCTGTTTTGTTGAACAAGTAGAAAGTATTAAAGTATTACACTGTAATAGGATTGCTACCAGGAAAGCTGCCTGGTAGCTGCTCTGTGTTCAGAGACTGTGATCTGTGAGTTGTCTAAGGCGACCTTGGGAGCTCCTCATGGGCCTGTCACGAATCAGCCTGGAGCCAAGCAGTGGGTGACTAAAGCAGCCTCACCTAGCAAAGAGGAAGTGTTCCTTGCTCTGGAGGGTTGAAAACAGTCCTTCAAAGTAACCTCGGGCCTCTTGTGCCCCTGGAATAAGCCTTCCTGCTCAGAGCTATTACATGGTCTTACTGAGTGCTTCCTGCCTTTCCACTCACCACCATGTGGTTTTGAGGGAAGAAGAGACTCAGTTTTCTTCACAGTGTCTTTAGAAATTACTTGCAAAATAACAAAAGCTCTCATAACTTTGTGCTTAATGCCTAAAATACCGATTTTTCTAAGAAATCTGTTTTGTGACCTTATTTTCTGAGCTGTTACCTTGTCTGGTTAAAAAAAACTGAGTTCAGGGCTGAGGATTTAGCTCAGCGGCGTAAGCACCTGCCTTGCAAGCAGGCAGTTTTGAGTTCGATCCCTGATACTGATTAAAAAAAAAACCCCTTGAGTTCAACTGCAGAAATAAGTTCCATATTTTGATTTTTACTTAACATTATATGTAATATGTATCTTTCTTTGCCTTTCTTTGTTTTCAGCTATTACTTATACATGTGTGATAAAGTGGTTGCCCCAAATGTGTCACTCACTTCTGCTGTATCCCAGTCAAAAGAGATCACAAAGACAGAGGCAAGTAAGTCAGCATCAAGACACTCAGAGAAGCCTCAGAGTAGTAGTAAACATCAAAAAACAGTGTCTTATCCAGATGTCTCACTTGAAGAACAAGAGAAAATGGATTTAAAAACAAGTAGAGTATTATATAGCCGTTTAGGTAAGTATCAGAAATTACATTTTAAAAATTAAGATACTAACACATTCATTTAGTATTTTGAATGTTTTTTTATTTAAGCTAATTTTTGCATAATTGAAGTTTTTACCTTAAGAAAGTGACCTTTTAAAATTCTGGATGATTCTGTTCTTTTTTTTTTTTGGTGATGGGAATTGAACTCAGGACCTTGTGCTTGCCAGGCGGGTACTTATTACTTCACAATGCAAGTGATTTTTTTTTTTTTTTTTTTTTTGTCTTTTTCATTTTTATTGGTACCAGGGATCGAACTCACGACTGCCTGCTTGCAATGCAGGCGCTTATGCCGCTGAGCTAAATCCCCAGCCCCTACTCTCTCTCTTTTTTTTTTTTTTTGGCAAGTGATTTTTGATACTTCTTCTCTTTCCTATCTTTTGTTGCTATCACATTTCTTCGCATAGGTCCCTACTTTCCTGATTTTTCTGTGAGGTAACAAACCCATGTAACTAATAGTAAAGTATTTAAGGGGAATAGTTAAGTATAAAACTCGGGGAACTAGGGCTGGGGATTTAGCTCGGTGGCATAAGCACCTGCCTTGCAGGCAGGCAGTCTTGAGTTCGATCCCTGGTACCGATAAAAAAAACAACAGCAACAACAACAACAACAAAAAACACTCGGGGAACTGTAAATCATGGAATAAAGCAATGATTGAAAGCTTGGAGAGCCAAGCAGATGGCTTAAACGTAGAATGGTGCCTTCTCATTTGAAAGAAAAAAAGCTCCCTGTCTGCTATGTCTTTAAAAAAAATACTGATCATACAAGACACGTACAGTATACTCAGACACAGCCTGTGTTACAGACTATGCAGAAGTCCAGGTTTGTTTAATGCTTAGGCAGTGTGACAGTTATTTTTAGCTGTCCTGAAACAGTTGGAGAATAGAATCCTCTAGTTCAACTGTTTTTGTAAATAATTGAGATTCTTGAATATTTTCTGTACTTTGGAGGTTTTTAAATTCAGGTTCATCTGTATTTAAATATGGTAAGTTAAAGTAATAGTATGACACCATTGTGTCATTTGCATTGCATTTTTTCCTAAATTCTAGTGAGTTTTTGAAAATAGTTGATAAAATTCACATATAATAGTTTACCCCTTTATAAAGTGTACAGTTCAGTGGTTATTAGTGTAATCACAAAGTTGTGCAGCCGTCACAACTTTTTAATTCCAGGACACTTTCATCACTCACAAAGAAATTTGGTGATCCTTTCAGCAGTCACTCATCTTCTTTTCTCCTAACCTCTCACAACCACTAACTTGTTTTCTGTCCACATATTTACCTGTTATCTGTATTTGCCTATTTTGGACATTTAATGTAAAGAGTTAATGTGATTTTTGTGTCTCATTTCTTTCACTAATATTTTCTCAGTCTGTGTTCCTATATCAGTATTTTCTTATAGCTTAATACTCCTTTTTGTGAATATATCTCATTTTCTTTATCTGTTCATCAGTTGATTGGTATTTATACTGTGCCCACATTTTGGCTTCTCGGAATAATGCTACCATGAACACTTGTATACAAATGTAGTTTAGGCATATGTTTTCATTTCTTTAGAGTATATATTCAGGAGTGCAATTTCTGGGTCATACGGTAAGTCTGTTAATTTGAGAGACTAGCAAACCATTTTCCAAAGCAACGGTATTCGTTTTATATTCCCACTGGTAGCTTAGGAGGGTTTCGGTTTGTGTGCATGTTTGTTAACACTTGCTATTAATCTGTCTCTTGAATATTGTTATGTATTGATTGTAAAGTTCTGTCTCATTGTGTTTTTGATTTGTTGCTCCCTGATGATACTGAATATTTTTTTATGCTTTTCTGTGTGTTGCATGTTTTCTTTGGAGAACGTTGTTCATATCTTTGCCTATTTTAAATTGGATTATCTCTTTACTCTTGAGTTGTAAGAGTTATATTCAGGATACCATATTTTATCATATATGTAATATACCATTGTTAGTTGTTTACTTCTAGTGACTCTTGGAAAATACAAATTTCAATTTAAAAAAATTTTTTATTTATTTTTATTTTTTTGGTATTAGGGATCAAACTCATGACCTCATGCTTACTAGGCAAGCACTTGAGCTGCTGAGCTAAATCCCCGGCCCATAAATGTCAATTTTTTGTGAAGTCTAGTATGTCTGTTTTCTTTGGTTATTGGTTTTGGATACATTGTGTAATCCAAGATCAAGAACATTTGTATTTAAGGAGTTTAGCTCTTGCATTTAGGCTTACTGTCTTTTGTCTTTTTAAGACAGGGTCTTGCTGTGCAGTTCAGGCTAGTCTTGAGCTCACTTTGTAGCCCAGATTGGTCTCCAACTTAAAACGATCCTCCTTTCTCAGCCACGTGAGTGCTGGGATTATGCATTTGTGTTTTTGATTCATCTTGAATTTTTTTAATAAGATGTGAAGTCTAGTCTTCTTTTGCATGTGAATACAGTTGTACATTTGTTAAAAAGACTGTTCTTTCCTGATTGCATTATCTTCCCCTCCTAGTCAAAAAACGATTGACTGTAAAAGTATGGGTTTACTTATTTCTGTACTGAAAGTTCTTTTCCATTGATTTATAGCTTTGTAGTCAGTTTGGAAATTGGGAATATGAGTCCTCCAACTTCATTCTTTTATTGCTATTTTGGATTCCTTGTATTTCTGTATGAATTCTAGAATATGCTTGTTAATTTTGGAAAAAATTTGAGATGGAATTTTGATAGGAGTTGCATTGAAGAAGTTGGTCAGATAAATACTGCTTGTTTTAATATCAAGTCTTCAGTCTATGAATGGTGGGATATCTTTCCATGTATTCAGATTTTTTATTTCTTTCAGCAGTGTTTTGCAATTGTTGTATACATCTTTCACTACCGTGTTAGATTTATTTCTAAACATTTTTTATTTGATCTGTGAGTAGAATTGTCTTCTTAGTTTTATTTATGAGTTGATCTAGTGACTTTTAAGTTACATTCATATCGTGTTACTTTTTTTCCCTCAAAGATCCGTCATTCTCAAGTAATTCTACAAGTAAAAAGAAATCGGATTCTACTGCCTGTGATTCAGTAAGAGACACAAACAAGCATGCTGCTGCCCCTTCGTCTCCACTTCTTGTCAAGGATGTTGTTTGTGAGGATGACAAGGGAAAGATCATGGAAGAAGTAATGAGAACTTACATAAAACAGCAGGAAAAGCTGAACTCAATTTTGCAGAAGAAACAACAACTACAGATGGTAAAATTGTTCTCTAAACAGTAGTACTTTATAAAGAGACACTTTAGCCTATGCTGAGTAAGAAAAGATAAGCAGAAAGTGTACTTCAGGTTGTTGAGAGTTTTATACTTACAGACAATTTTAAATATTTCATATTTTTTAGAGAAAATTATTTTTCATGAAATTTGCTTTTTATAGGACTCATAGGCAAATTTCAGATATTTTCTGACCCATGTTTTCCTGAACTTAAATGTTCAGTGTGGTAGAACTAAAGTAGAAATTGTATTGTGATTTTTTTTTTTTTAATGTTACAGGAAGTGGAAATGTTGAGTAGTTCAAAAGCTATGAAGGAACTCACTGAAGAGCAACAGAATTTACAGAAGGAGCTTGAATCTTTGCAGAATGAACATGCTCAAAGAATGGAAGAATTCTATATTGAACAGAAAGACTTAGAGAAAAAATTGGAGCAGGTAATGAAGCAAAAGTGTACCTGTGACTCAAATTTAGAAAGAGACAAAGAAGCGGAATATACTGCACAGGTAAGAATCACTCAGTTTGTATAATGCTGCCCGCATGGAAAGGCAAACTGTTATCTTTTTATTAAAAGAATTAAGATTTGTCAAGCTAGATTTGAAACTAGATAATTATGTTAGGCACAAGTCTTTGCTGTATTCTCCATGATGATATTTTGACCTTTGTTCCTTTAACTTTTATTGAGTTTCTATAATTTAATTACTTAAATTGCTTTTTTTTGTTTGTTTGTCTTTTTGAGACAGGGTCTCACTATGCAGTTCAGGCTGGCCTTGAGCTCACTTTGTAGCCCAGGCTGGTCTCGAATTTGCAACAATCCTCCTGCCTCAGCCTCCCGAGTACTGGGATTACAGGTGTACGCCACCATGCCTGGCTCTCACATTGCTTTTTGAAAAATTTTTATGTTATTTTGGGCTAGGAATATAGCTGCTGGTAGATGCTTGCTTAGCATGACTGAGGTCCTGAGCTTGGTTCTCCATATCACAAAATAAATGGATACTGTTTTGATACTGTTTTAATTTAGTGTATAGTCTTCGTGCCCCAAAATTAAAACACATGAGCTGTTGTCCACAATATTCAGAAGTATGGAGGCCAAACAAGGAACTTTTGTTAGTGTAGCTCACAATTCAGAGGTGAACAAATAACTTGCATGAGCAGACTGCAGGCTATAATGAGAGGTATAGTTTGCCATAATGAAAGTGCTATAGGTTCATTTCTCTGTATCTTTCACATTAAAGAATATTCAATGAAAAACTGACATAGCCTTTTAAATCACACAGTTGGCAGAACTGAGACAGAGATTGGACCATGCTGAGGCGGATAGACAAGAACTCCAAGACGAACTGAGACAGGAACGAGAGGCAAGACAGAAGTTAGAGATGATGATAAAAGAGCTAAAGCTGCAAATTTTGAAATCATCAAAGACTACTAAAGAATAGACACTGTTAAAAGAGATTCATCTGAGTATTACAGGGTTCTTCTGTTTGTTGCTTGCTTTGGTAATTGAATCCTGAATATCTTACTTGCATGAAGATAACTACATATTCTATCTGTTTGTAGATCAGAGAAAGTGAAGAGATTATATATTAGTACATAAATTTTTACATTTTCCAAATGAATGAAACGTATGTTTCTGTGTACGTTTTCCCCTCAGTCAGCTTGGTAACAGTAATATATGGTTTCAATTAGTAGATAATTACCTATATTTCTAATGCCAATTTAATAATTGTATACCTTTTAAAAGTGCATTATGTGATAGATAATAGCTGTGGTCACTTTTGTTATCTATATTTCATATTCAATTTTAGATACAATGGTGGCATCATAATTCAAATACATAGTACAATGCTACCCAAGGAGTTAAATCTTCATTTTTCTCAACAGTCTACTTATCAATTAATATAGTATATTTATTATTATACAGAAAGTTTGCTTTTAATTTGTCCAAATGGTATAATAAATTCCCACCAGCTTTTTCCTTTTAGTGTCTCTTAAGAGAGATTTTGTTAATGAAGCTATAGCATACCCATGGACACAAAGAGGAAGTATGACATGCTTTGTTTGTTGCTGCTAGACATGAAAAGCAGTTGTAATTTGTCTTTTATTTTAAATGTGATTGTATTTAGAATATTTTGCAGTGAATTGAGAAAATTAATTTCTGAACCTTTGTTAGTGGTATTAATAGTGGTGTGAAAATATTAATGAAAATATTAAGAAAAACTGATTCCATTGATGTACATTACTTTCCATATGATTCATAATCTTCCTGTATAGTTTTTATATGTAGTTATGGGTCTTAATGAAATTTATATAATGAATTTGTTTTCCTTTAAATTATAAAATATTAAACAGCTGAAAAGGTTATTTTGGACTTTTGTATGTTATCGTACCAAATTTGCACAAATGGACCATTTTCAATTACACTTTAATGCCAAAATCAGGAATTTACAATCAATAGATGCAGTTTGATAGATTAATACAAGGCAGTTTAATTATTTGCTTCTCAACGTTTGTAGATCATTTTTAGATGGCAGAATTTCACAGTTTGGGAAAGGGCATCATCTGTACTTTTTTTTTTGCACAGAAAAGTCGTTTTAAATAGAAAATTTCACGTTAGTTAATTCTTAGCTTAAAAGTTATTAGGTAAAATTCCCAGTATGTGTTTTTTTAAAGGAAGTTTCCTGAAACCACCATTAATACTATCCTATGAATTTTGTTCTTTAGGTTCTTTCACTAGGTACTAATGAAATTCCTTAAGCTATTTTATTTTTTAAAAATTTATTAGTTTTACACTGTTTTGCAGCACAGAAGATAGATACTTTAATGATATAAATAGAACTTCAAAGCTCTCTTAGGTTATTGTGTGATTATTTTCATATTTTGTTTAATGGTACTGACATATTTAAAAAGAATTTCCCAAAATGCAATTTCTTTAAATATAGTGTAATCTAATGTGTATTTTGCATTTAAACCTTATTAACGCTAACCTAATTTGTTGATTCTTGGAGTCTCTTGAAGAATGAACAAATGTTAAAACAATGCGCTAAAGTAAATGTTTAAAATGCCATATTCTCCCACTGCCATTTATTTAGATTGGGATGAAGAAAAATCACAGATTTTTATGGTATAGTTTTATTTTGGTTGTAAGGTAATTATGTTACAAATCAACTTTTTGGGGAGACAAACTCAATCACCTATAATTTCTTTTATTTTTCTAATTTCTGCTGGTTTTATCTAGTATGGTAGGCTTACCTGGGTTTCAACTGAAAATGTCTGAAATAAATTGTTTATCTTTAAAATACTGTATTTTAGAATTCTTAACTGTTTCTTAACCACCGTTAAATTCTTTATAAACACTTGATTTAGAATTGAGTAATTTTGTTTTCTAATCCTTAGTGAAAACTTGCCATATGACATTGTGATAGTCTTCATTTTACAGAAGATACATTGACGTGCCATAGGTTTCTAATTTTCTCAAAAATAGTTTTTAGTCAGTTGTAAATATTACTGTTAAAAGTAACTGAATTAAATTGCACCGCATAGCTTGAAAACTATACTAGAGAGATTTTGTAATGCTTATAAAGTGACCTCTCCTAAAAATCTTACCCATGGGGCTGGGGATTTAGCTCAGCGGCATAAGCGCCTGCCTTGCAAGCAGGCAGTCGTGGATTTGATCCCCGGTACTGATAAAAAGGAAAAAGACCAAAAAAAAAAAAAATCTTACCCATGTAGAACTTATTCTTCTGTTCCTTGCATGCTCGATTTATGTGCTGGTGGCTAATTTAAAGTTTGTTTTGGTGCCAAGTTCACTAGATTTTTCCTCAGATTTTATAATAATTCTTTTTAGGAAAAATAAAAACATTTGCTCTAAAAAGCTGCACTAAAGGGGCAGCGTATAAAAGTTATGCTAGAGCATCTTTAAAAAAAAGAAAGAACTTTAGCTTACAAGTGATGAGTGGGTGGTCATAGTTTCAATAGTTTAAACCTTACGAGAAAAATAAACCAGATCTTTAAAGGTAGTAAATATAAAATCTGCTGTCAGTGAGGAAAGTCTTAACTACACAAATTTTACAAACGCAACCTTTAATGCTATAGGATTTTGCCAACAACCTAAGTTTGGCTTGTACTTTAATTTTGTAAAATGTGTTCTTTTGCTTGCATTTCTGAGTCTGGGAGAATTAGGATGTTTTATGCTTCTTGAATGAATTTTATAACATATTTAATATATTGCCAGTTTAGATATAAAATCATTTGTAAATATTGAATTATAAAACAGTTGTTAAAGTAGGTGAAATAAACCAAGTGCTATATTTGCAGGTTGCCCATATCTTTTAGAAGTCACAACAGAACAGCCAGTTTTTTTGCACATCTGTGGTCTGTTTCAAGGAAAATAAAGTGAAAAGGAAACTGTAATGTAAAACATGCCTATGATATTTCCCTAGAATTAATTGCAGAGTTAGCACTGAAGGTTTTTAATCAGCTTCTTAAGTTTTCTTCTCAATAAGACATGTTTTGATTATTTAGGAAAGAGTACTCATTTTTTATTTGCTCATTATGCATTTAATCCACATAACATTGAAAATTAATATAACAAAAATTGTGCTTATACTGTACATCTGTTCCTGTGCGTGGAACTACTTGTTAATAGTTTTTATTGATGCTGGCAGCAATAAAGGACATATGTATTATATGTTGTGAAATTAAATAAGCAGTTTAAAAATGTTTTCTAGTATAGGATATTAAGCATTTCCACTGTTGGGAGAAAAGCATATGGTTATTTTATATTGCATCTTATCTAAAGGACAGTTTTTTTTAATGTCTGCATTTAAATAGCTTCTAAACTATATAATGCAATTTGGAGCCTGTTTAGAAATAGACTTAAATGTCTTATGTAGTGCTACTGTTTTTTAATTAGGAGGTGATCAATTGTAATAACAAATTTAAAAATTAAGCCCAGAAAAGAAATTAGTGTTTAAAGTTAGTTTAATGTAACAAAAATTTATAAGATTTTTTTTTCTCCAATAGATACCTCACTTGAAAATAAAGCACAGCATACTTAAAGTAGTTCTAGTAGAAACATCCTATTAAAACAATTGTGAAATCTAGGACATCTTTTGGGAAATTCAAGTTTGTGAGAAGTAAAATGTACTTAGCTTTTAACTATTCTGTTAAAAGTACTTGTTTATCCTAATAATTTTAAGCCAACATAGCAGTCTTAAAAGTTTATTTCTGAATTTCTAACCTGGGAAGACAGTAATTGAATTAACTTGTTTGGTAACTGTTGAAACAAAGTGATTATATTGACCATAATTTGATTTGTAATTTTGCCAATGATGTACAGTTTTATGATTAAAATTGCTGTGGTTGGTTGCATTACATGACATACAAAACTGTCCTACCTCACGTGAAATAAATATTTTATATGGTTTTACTAAAAAATAAGACTCATCTATCTGGTCACTTAGTTTACAAATTTGAATTATATTTATTGAAACATGACATACTGTGCTCTTAGCTTATACCTCAATTGTATTTTGTGCTGTTTTCCATTTTCATGCCTTGTAAATAACTTGTATAGATTGTGGATCAAATTCCAAATAAAACTTTTAATGCCAATGAGATTTGATTGAAGCCATCTCAGTATCTTTTGTTAGTTTAATCTTTTCTCCCTTTAAAATGTTATTCATTACATATTGACTCACGTAAAAGGCCTGTTATAAAATGTGGAATCATATGTAATATTTCAGGTGATGAAAATACCAGCATTTTGTGACCATTCTCTTTCATCATACTTGAACTCTAGTTTTAACATCTTTGCCCCAGCCATGTTATAAATTACATATGAGTACGTAACAGATCATCCCCCAAATTTAGCATCTTAAGGCAAAAAAGTGTCTGAGGGTCAGAAATCTAGGAGCAGATCTATTTGGTTATTTTGGCTCAAGAGCTTTCATGAGGCTGCAGTCAGGATGTTACCTGGACCTGAAAGTCATTGGGAATTTGACTAAGCTGAAAGATCTGCTTCTGAACTGACTCTTACTTGGCTCTTGTTGGGCGTTTATTTCCTCATTGTGTGGATAAGCCCAGGAAGCTGTGGGCTTATCCACAAAGTGGCTGATTTACCCACACAAGTGATCCAAAAGAAGGAGTGATACCATAGTTTCTTTGAGGCTGAGTGATACTCACCACTTGCCTTATCCTAGTTGTTAGTTGTCACAAGTCCAACTTATCCTCAACAGACAGGGATTACTCAGGGATGGATACCATGAGGTGGGGCTCATCGGGAGCCAATGAGAAGGGCTAAAATATCCTGTACATTTTCATATTTAAATTTTCTTATAATAGTTTATACAAAATACAGAGCTGGGGATGTAGTTGAGTACCAGGGCCCTAGGTTCAATCTCCAAAATAAATTTTACCCTTTAGCCATTTTTAAGTGTATAACTTAGTTGCATTAAATGTACAACAGTGTTGCACAATTATCACGGCCATTGCCAGACCTTTTCATCATTCTTAATGCATTACTTAATGCATTCAGCTTGAGTCAGCTGGAATCACCAGTGTGCATGGGTTTCAGTCCTGTCATGAAAGTGTTAAACAGTAGTAACTCCTTTTTCCAGCTTCTAGTTTCTATTTTAGTAGTAAATACTTAATGGAATAAAAGTATTTGCCCTTTGTCTGATTTCATTTAGCATAATGTTTTCAAGTTACATCCATGTTGTCCAATATATCTGAATGTGTTGTTTCCACCTATTAGCTGTTGTAATAATGCCACTAAGGAACATCAGTTTGCAAGTATATGTAGTGTTTAAATTCCTGCTTTTGGGGGTGTATACTTAGGAGTGGAATTGGTGGATCTAACAGTAATTCTATATTTAAATTTTCTGAGGAGCTTCCACATTTTTTCCACAGGGCTACATCACTGATCTTTCCACTAAGAAGGAGGGCCCTGGTTTTTCTACATTCCTGCCAACACGTTATTTTCCATGTTACCAAACAAATCATCCCGAGGGGTGATTAGCATTATTTCATTGATTTGACTTGCATTGCCATATTGACCAATGTCAGTCATCATCTTTTCATGTGCTTATCAGTTACTTATTTTCTTTGGAGAACTATCTGTTGAAGTACTTTCTCCAGTTTTTCCCAAGTTTGTCATTGCAAATTTTTATTAGTACATATTATACAGAATAATGGATTTTGTTGTGACATTTTCAGATATGCATAGAATGTGCTTGAATTATATTCTTCCAGTTACCTCCTCCCTTTTCTCTAATAGACTCTTTAGTTTCCTGTCATCTTTCTTATCTCTACCCTTTACACCCCACATATGAGAGAAAACATGATACTTGTCTGAGTCTGGCTTATATTATTTAACACAATCTCTAGTTTGACCAATTTTTCTGCAAATGACAGTTTTGTTCTTTATGGCTGAGTAATACTTTGCTGTGTATATGCTTTTTCTTTATTCATTTGTCTATTGATGTAGGCTGATTCCCTAACCTGGCTATTATGAATGGTACTGTGATAAATGTGGTCATGCAGGTATCTTAACAGTATGTAGACTTTGATTCCTTCAGATAAATAATGGAGTGGTACAGCTGGGTCATATGACAGCTTTATTTTTAGATTGTTTAAAAGGAAACTTCATACTGATTTAATACTGGTTATACTAGTTTACATTCCTTTCCTTCCTCTTCCTTACTTATTAGTTTTTGCATTTTTGAGGTGCCATACTGAGTGAAATTTAAATGTAGCTTTGAGTTGCATTTCTCTGATGGCTAAATATGTTGAGTGTTTTGTGTTGGGGAGTACCAAGAATCAAACTCAGGACTTCAAACTTGCCAGACAGGCACAGTGCCTCTGAGTGCTGGGATTATAGGTGTATGCTACCATGCCCGGTCCATTTTGTTCTTTGTAAGGCATTGTAAATGGAATTGTTTTCTTAATGATCGTTTTGGAAAGTTTTATTTTTGGTTTTATAGAAATGCAACTGACTTTTGCATGTGGATTTGGTATCCACATTTCTGAATTCTTCATTAGCTCTGATTGTGTGTGTGTGTTGGATTTTCTACATATAAGATCATGTCATCTATGAATAGAGATTCCTTTATTCTTTCAAATTTAGATGCTTTTAATTTTTTTCTAACCTGGTCAGTCTTGCTAGAGCTTTCAATACCATGTTGAATAGAAGTGATGAGTGAGCATTCTTGTTTTGTTCCTGAGCTTGGAGTAAAAGCTTTTCAGTTTTTCACCAATGAGAATGCTGTTAGTTGTAGCTTTTCTTATATGTAACCTATTTATCCTGTTGAGGAAGTTCTTCTTATTTGTATTATGTTGAGTGTTTTTATGATGAAAAGGCGTTGAATTTGTCAGATATTTCTGCATTGAGATAATTGTGTGCCCCCCCCCCATTCTAAGGAAGAACATTTTTTTTTTTTTAGATTTTTAAAAAAAATTTTCTGTACCAGGGATCGAACTCACGACCATGCACTTGCAAGGCAGGCACTTATGCTGTGGAGCTAAATCCCCAGTCCAACCTCTCCCATTTTATTAATGTGTTACATTACTTGGTATCCATCTTTGCATTTTGGGAATACATCCTCTTTGTCAAAGTGCATAACCTTTTAAAATGATGCTGAGTTTGGTTTGCTAGGATTTTGTTAAGGATTTTTGTATTAATATTTGTAAAGGATATTTGTAATTTTTTTGTAGAGTTTTTGCTTTGGTATCAGGGTAATAATAGCTTCATAGAAAGTATTGTTTTTGATTTTTTGAAAGTTTATGAAGGATTAATATTCTTTTTAAAATGTTTGGTAGAATTTGTGAATAAAACCACCTGGTTTGGGGCTTTTCTTTGCTGGGAGCTGTTTATTTATTTATTTATAAGAACAAAGGCTTGATCTCTGGCTCTTCAGTGTGCCACACAAGTGCTTTAGCACTGAACTATACCCACAGACCTCTTATTTTAAGACACGGTCTCATGGAGTTGCCAGGTTGTAGTTCTATTCCGGCCTCCCTATTAGGGATTACTAGTTTGTACCAACACATCTGGCTTTTAGGGAGGTTTTTGATTACTGATTTAATACCTGACTAGTTTGCCTTATTCAGATATTCCAGTTCTCCATAAATTAGTTTTGGTAGATTGTGTGTTTTAAAATAATCTGTCCATTTCACCTAGGTGGTCAAATTTTGTGACTTATAATTGCTCATAATATTGAAATTTTTTGATATAAAATAGATAATATACCCAGTTTAGAAAAAGCCCAGCTCTATTTAAGTGGACTAGTGAGTTGTAGAAAAAAAACCAAAAAACCAAAACCCAACTTTTAGTTTTGTATATCTTTTGTATTCTTTCTATTGTCTTACTCATTTCTCCTCTCATCTTTATTGTTTTGTTTTATCTACTAACTTTGGGCTTACTCTTTTTTTCCCTAGTTATTTGACATTTAGCATTAAGTAGTTGTTTTGTATCTTCTTTATATGTTGGCATTTATTGTTATAAACTTCTCAGTACTATTTTTGTTTCACACTATACATTTTGGCATGTTGTGTTTCTGTTTTCGTTTGTTCCAAGATACATAAAAGAATTTCCTTTTTGTTTCTTCTTTTGACTCTTTTTCTTGCATGTTGTTTAATTTCCAGAAATTGTTGAACTTTTTCTTGCCCTCTTACACTTTAATATAATAATTTACATCTTTATTTCTTCAAATAAGCTCTTATATCTGTTACAATGTGATGCTGGTTCACCTAATAGTGCCCATAAACCCATGAGCCTGTGTTCATTTTTTTTCTCCTCCTTTGTACTTGATAATTTGAATTTTCGAATTTGATGATTTTTTGGCGGGGGGGGGGCTGGTCAAATTTGTTGATCTGTGAATTTTCATTTAATGTATTATACTTTTTTTAGCTTCATAATTCTTTGCTTCCTTTGTTTGAACCATGGTAAGCAAGTGCCTGACCTCTGAGTTATATTCTCAGACTTTTTTTTTTCCTTTTTATAACATATCTTTATTGATATTCTCATTTTGTTTATACATTATTGTTTTCATTCCCTTTGGGTCTTTGTTATGCCTTTTTCTGTAGCTCTTTATTTTATTTTGTAGTTCTTGGGAAACAGGGCTTCACACTTTCTAAGCAAAGGGTTCTCCTGCTGGACTATTTACTCTAGCCCTTTGTGTTTGAAATAATCGTTCTGTAATATTTGCCCTATAGGTCACACATCTGGATTTCTTTAGGGATGGTTGTTGTCAATTCTTCTTTTGAATGGGTAGTGTTTTCTGATTTCTTTGTATGCCTCCTTGTGATTTTTTAAAAAATTGAGCACATGACATTTATCGTGGGGTTATTGGTGGAAATCAGATTCTACCTCTTCCTCAGGATCTGGTTTCATTTATTTGGTTTTTTGCTGTTTTAACACTTTACTATTTTTTTCAAGGACTTTTTATTGTGGGTTGTCAGATCTCTGTTCATTTAGCTTATGCTCAACTAATGTTTTGGTGGGTTTTCTTGAATGATACGAGCCAAGCAAACAGTCCAAAAAATAATCTGTGTGCAGTGATGCACCCGTGTAATCCAAGCACTTTGGGAGGCTGAGGCAAGAGGACAGCAAGCAAGTCCC